GATTGCCCGGTCAATTTTCGGGTTAAATCTATTCCTCAAGGGGCTAAATAATTAACAAATCACCCGTTAACAAATCCTCCATGGACCATCTATTTATATAATGAGTGATTTGTTAATTATTTAGCCCATGAGAAATAGATTTAGCTTAAAAATTGACCGGGCAATCACAGTTGTGTAGGAGGGTTCATTGGCGACATATATGAAGAAGCAGAAATCAATTTCGAGCTTGGACGAGTCCGAACGGCCCCAAAAGGCAAAGTTGCGCGAAACACGTTTAATGTATCGGTCAAAAGTTTTGGGAGAATATGATTTCAAGAATAATTTGGCTATGCAAGAGTCATTGAATAGAGGGGTCCGTTAGCTACGTATAGGAAAAAACGGAACTCAATTCCGAGTTCAGACGAGCCCAAAACACAAAATACGTACTATATATTAATTTTTTCATTAATTTTAAAATATAAAACTTATTATTAAAATACGTTTTATTCTTAATTATTTATAAAACTTATTTTGATAATACGTTTTATTTCTTAATTATTTATAAAACGTATTATCAATATACATTTATTTATTAATTTTTTTCAAACGTATTATTGGAATACATTTTATACTGTTTTTTTCAATTGTTTTAAAAAATAACATTTTACAAATATAATTTTAAAATGGATTACCAAAATACGTTTTTTTAAAAAAATTTAATTAAAAACTTATCCACATATAATGCCATAAACATCAACTATATATATATAAAAAGAGGTTGTTGAAAAAGTACATTAATAGAAAGTTTGACCAAATAAATATAAGGTTTGACTTACTATTAATGGAAAGCTCAAAAAACACATGTAAATCTTAAGAAACAAAAACTGAATCCTATTTTTTCGGTAACAAATTTGGAGATTTTTATGGCAAAATTTGAATCCCATTTTTTCGTATCATATTTTATCTTTTAACCAAAATTTAAATCATATCCTTTTTGGTAACAAATTTAGAGATTCTTAAGCAAAAAATGTGTCAATTATTTATGAAAACAATTCTAAATACAAATCAATTTAAAAACCGTGCAAATTGGATACAAATTTACGAAAAAAATAGTTGTATAATGTCTAACCAATTCTTCCAATCTTATTAAATAATTTTATCTTTCAAAAAAAGTGTGTAAATTGGTTAAAACCACGTGCAATTTTAATTTGATAAAACTGATATTTGGACGGGATGTACATTCAAAATTGTGCCCACATTTTTTGGTAACAAAAGCGGTTCATCTTTGATATCTAAAGTCACCTTATCCAATTATTTAGAAAAATTTGTGTGCAACTTTTCAAAATTTAAATGCATCGATTGGTTGTGACAAATAATTGGTTTATAGGTTTGATGCTCACTGAAGAACAAATCAAGAACCTGGCTCTTGCTGAGATTGAGAATTTATTGAGACGACGTTGGTCAAGTCTTCGTGAATACTAACTATGCCATTTCTGGATAGGGAGAACATCAATTCATGTTCGAATCGTCTAATTTTGGATGAATTGAACTATGATCGAAAGGCCCTTGCTGTTGAAAACGATATGCTTCTTAAGAAAATGACAGCCGAACGGAGGAGTGTCTACTCAAGAATTATGTCCGCTGTTGATTCCGGCCAAGGAGGGCTATTTTTTGTATATGGTTATGGTGGAACTGGGAAGACGTACCTGTAGAGGACTTTATCTGCTGGTTTGAGATCCAGGCGACATAGTCTTATGTGTCGCATCCAGCATAATTGCATCGCTTTTGTTACCAGGTGGACGAACAAAGCATTCTCGATTTGCTATACCATTGAATCCCCACCAGGAATCTACTTGCAACATCAATCAGTCAAGCCCTCTAGCGGAATTGATAATCTGTGCTTCTCTAATAATATGGGATGAAGCACCAATGATGCACAAGCATTGTTTCGAACCTGTACAGACATCGCTACAGGGTATTATGGGAGCAATTGATCCTTTGAACTTGAACAAACCGTTTGGTAGGAAGCCGTTGTTTTTGGTGGAGATTTTAAATCCTTCCTATTATTCCAAAGGGTAGCCGTCAGGACATAGTCAATGCTGCCATTAATCCTTCTGACATATGGAGAAGTTGTACTGTGCTTAGGCTTATGAAAAACATGCGCCTTCAGGGACTTGCTAATTCGGATGAACGTAATGAGCTTGCACGGTTTGCAGATTGGATAGCCAACATCGGAGATGGAACTATCGGGGGGTCAAATGATGGATGTGCAGCTATAGACATACCCCAGCTATAGACATACCCGAGGACATTTTGCTTCAGCCATCTGATGATCCTATTGCTCAGATCGTTGAAAGCACATATCCAATGTATAAAGAGGCACCTGACAATCCATAGGGCTATATTAGCGCCGACGTTGGATGTGGTCGAGTCTATCAATGAGTACATGACATCATTGAATTTGTTGGATGGTCGTATGTACTTGAGCTCTAACAGTACGTGCAAATCGGATTCTAATAATGATTTTTTGTCTGATCTCCATACGCCTGAGTTTTTGAATAGTATCAAGTGTTCCTGAATATCGAACCATGAGTTGTATTTGAAGATTAGAACTCCAGTCATGTTGTTGCGGAACATGGATCATTCTATGGGTTTGTGTAATGGGACACGATTGTTGTGACAAAGCTATCCACTCACGTTCTTGAGTGTAAGATACTCACAGGAGATCATGCTGGTGATAAGGTGTTGATTCCAAGAATGACCATAACTCCTTCTGATGTTAGAATTCCTTTCAAGTTACAGCGGCGACAGTTTTCCATTATGGTTTATTACGCCATGACTATAAACAAGAGCCAGGGACAATCCTTATCTCATGTTGGCTTATTTCTTAAGAAACCAGTGTTCAGTCATGGCCAATTATATGTTGCTATCTCCCGTGTCACTAACCGAAATGGTTTAAAAATCTTAATTTGTGGCGAAGATGACGTGCCAAATAATCAAACCAATAATTTTGTATATAGGGAAGTGTTCAATAATATATGATCTTTTCAATTTAATTTTATGTTTATATGTTTATTCTTATGGTCATGATCATTGCATTATTACACAATTTATATACAAAATTGTCTTTTAAAAAGCATATATATAATAATATCCCTGTGCATCGCACGGGTGATTACTAGTATATATAAACTACCCCCACAATTGTATTGTAAAAAGAGTAATAATTTAAGTGCAGCTACAAGTAGTTGCATCATATGACCTAGTCTTTTTTTCTTTTGTTTTTTAGGCAATAGGTGTTGTCACGGGGCTAACTGTTGCTCAATCCACCGATGCGGCTGATCGATCTCCTGGTTCAGATCTCCTGGTTCAGTGAGGCTTTTGATCAACATACTAAATGCTTGGCTCATAAAATTATGAAAGTCGGAGCACAAAAGCAAGTAATAGACGCGCACACATACACATGCATCAAGCAAATTAAGGCAACACGTTTATGGACTCCACGCCTAACCAACAAGTTTATAATTACTCAATAGCAATGTTGAAAATATGCCAAAGCTTGCACACAACTCACGTTTGATCACTCTCTACCTGCGATTTGTGCAACTCATTGTCTATTGAACATATATAATAAGATGCGGTTGACATCCCCACGCCTTTTCAGAACCGACAGTAAAGTGTTTGGGAATTGGGATACGCCGCAATAAATGCCCGTCTTTTCGGTTCACATCAACAATGCTCAGCATAGTCAACGGAAGTCTGAACCACGCGCTCCACAAGAGACGATCTTAGCCAGCCAACTCGGACCAAGTCATGAGGTGACGACCTCAGAAGAGATGCCAGAGACCTCTCATCCGAGTTGAGTCGTGTGGGACCAGCTGTCTAAGAACAGTGATCAGAGCGCTGATGACACGTAAAGCCGGTTCGACACTCGGGTTGTGTAGATGCCGAGCTTGAAAATAAAGAAAGTTGATAAGCATAATGTGCGGAACATCTTCTGAGAACGACACTTGTGTCGTGCGAGGGGACGACATCAATCTCGTCCAAGCGTCGAACCGAGAAATGAAGACCCTGAAAACCAGAAGATGAAAATGGTTCAAGCCCAGGTGAAGATCCAACCTGAAGATTCGTCAAGGTTGGCTCTGGCACGCGTGAAAGGTTTGGAACTTGTCCAGTGACGATTGTTGACGCGACATGCTATCCTAGTCAGCCACCCTAGAGCATCTAGACTGGTAGGGCGATCTGTTAGCATTAAATACCCCACATGTGCCATTTAATGTCTGACAGGTAATCATTGAGAAATCCTCAGATCACATTTAATGCTTGTCAGAGCGGCGCCGACCTATCATTCTGAATTACTGTGCGAAGTGACAAAATGAACAATACGTGAACAGTGTCAGATTAATGATACTATAAATAGGAGACCTTTACATTTATTAGGGTTGTTGATTCCTCCACCAACTAATTCTCTCTCTAAATTTTACTCTCTCAATATTGTAATAAAGTTCCGTAATTATTCTAACTATAAAAAGAGAGTCGACCTCAACCTTAGAGGCCGACCTAGTAATTAAGTAATAAAAGCTCGTTTACTTAGTATATTCCTGTTTTTTTACTGGTTTAATCCCACATAAATATTTTATTAATCGTTGAACGATTCCAATCGTCAACAAATATTGTGGTTGATTATTAGAAGATATGAAATATTTTGTTCGTGTATTTATACAATTAATTAAAGATTAATTATTAGTTAAATATATAAAACATGATGGGTATTAGTGCATGACTAATGCCACTAAAAATATGTCAAAATAAGGGGTATTGATGTATTGCTAAATTGTTATTAAAAATATGTTAAAGTAAATATATTTTAAGTAGTTAATTTTTTTTACAAAGTTACTCATCTTTTTATAATAATAAATTATTGTTTGGAAAAAAAAAAAAAAAAAAGCATTAAAGAAAAGTCAAATTTTCAACCCCAAACGTTCCACACGTGGTTTAGAAAAGTAGCCGCTGTGGATCTCCACACACTTGATCCCCACCTCATCATCCATCCATCCACCCGTAACAGTATCTCTCGGGTCAAACAAAAAACGACACATTCCACTAAGTTCCACTGCTATTGGAGCGTGATGCCACCACCACCTCAGCCAGCGCGTGGAGAAAGAAATTTTACTCCCAAAGAAAGCATTCTTTAGGAGAGGTGTCGCCAGTTACATCACCACCAAAATCTAGAGTCTTTAACCAAGCGCCGCCGCTCCCTGCCGCCGCCAATGGGGGTTGCTGAACCCGTAAGCCGCACCTCCTTCCTTGTCTTTCTTTTTTCTTTTCTATTTTTTTTTTCCGGGATTAACTAATGGTCTTTGGTATGTTACATTTTAGGTGGTTATGCAGAGAGGCGATGAAGGAGAAGGAGAGAGAAAGAACGAGAAAGAGGATGAGGGAGAGCTGAAGGATTTGGAAATGGGGGAGATGAACAATAACACGAATGGAGGAGCAGCTGCACAGACATATCCCCCAAACGCCGGATTTAGCATGTCAAGAATGCAAAGATTGAGCGCAACAAATCCTTTGAGGCTTGTAATGAATAATGCAACAAGAGTTGCTTCTCCTTCTCAAGCTCCTCGACCTCCGCAAAGGTCTCAGCTTCCGCCTCGCCCTTCTCCTTCGCCTAATTTGCACCACCAACAACCTCGCTCTGTACCTACTCCACAGGTATATACTCTAAATTGTCTAAAAGTCCTATTTTTATTTTTCAAAACTTGGTGTGTAATCCTGTTCTTAATTGCTTTTCCTCAAAGTCTCTCTATCTCTCTCTCTCTCTTGTGTGTGTGTTTGAAAATCCTGTTTCTCTATCTCTCTCTCTCTTGTGTGTGTGTTTGAAAATCCTGTTTGTAATTGTGTTTCTTTCTGTTTATTCCTGACAAATTATGTCACTCTGTCTTAAAAAATCTTGTTTTTAATTATTAACATTTTTTTTTTCTGTTTTCTCCCTTGATTTTAATTGGATATCTTTTCTGGGTTTATTGATGTTGTTTTTGTGTAAATAATCCCAAAATACAGATATAATTGTGTGATTCATTTTCCTGAGATTTGACTGGATATAATTTCCGGGTTTTTGGTTCTTTGATTATTATATCTAAATATCCAGCCATCGGTGGCCACACTCAACTCAAGATCATACACAAACAAGATCTCCCTCTTCGTATTCACCCTCCACACAGTTTTAGCAGTCGGGCTCATCGGGTTCTTGATATTTAAGGGCATTGAGGTCCTGATCGGGCCTGGACAGGCCCGAAATCAAGAACAAAAAGTCCTCAAATACTTCCTTCCCCAGGTCGAAGCCTCATCACTCCTCAGCATAACACTCGCCTTCGCCTGGCAAAAGGCCATCCGCACGTGGCCTAAATTCACTGTCCACTTCATAATCTGGAGCTCGTTTTTCTTCACCTTGACAGCTGGCATTCTCCTCATCTGCTTCCAGCTGCCGGCCACAGATGGCATAGGCGTCCTCTACATCGCCTTTGCCATCGGCAATGGGCTTTACGCCTGCTGGGTTTCACAAAGGACTGGGTTTTGCTCAAAAGTCTTCATCAAGGCCCTCGAGCCCGTTTCAAAATTCTCGGACATAAACCGTCCGACTTACTTGATGCTTGGGGCAGGGTTCTTATGGATTTCGTTCTGGATTTTGGCTGTGATTGGGGCTTTAAGTTTTTACGTTCCGCCATTGATTATACTGGCGTTGGTCTTGAGCCTGGCTTGGACGGCCGAGGTTATGAGGAATGTGGCTAATCTGACTGTTAGTCGGGTGGTTGCGCTTTATTATCTGAGGGGAATGCAGTCGAGCACCCAATTCTGCTTCCAGAGGGCTCTTTCTAATAATCTGGGGAGTGCTTGTCTTGGATCGCTGTTTGTGCCGACTATTGAGGCCTTGAGGATTGTGGCACGTGGGCTGAATTTGCTAGAGGGAGAGGACGAGTTCATGTTTTCGTGCGCTCATTGTTGTCTTAGGGTTATGGAGTCCATCTTCAAACGTGGTAATGGGTGGGCTTATGTTCAGGTATATACCAGTGAGTTGTTCTTGAAATTGACCATTTTTTTTTTGTTTTTGTTTTTGTTTTTTTTGAGTTTGTTCTTGGTTTAGCATTGAAAGTATTCTATTCTGTCTATTTTCCATTTTCAGATATTTATTTGCTTCACTTTTTATTTAATGGACTGTATATTTTGGGACTTCTGAAAACTTTTTAAGACCTTTTAAGGTGAGTGACTTTGGTAGATTTTGTGAAACTTTTAATGACTTTGGTGGCTTCCATAGCAAAATCTAATTAATTTGATGACATTTCTGTTGAGACTTTGTGTTTGTAATTTTATTAAAAAAGTCTCCAGAAGTCTTCCAATCTAAAAAGTCGTTATAAAATCTTTCTGCTTTGAATACCGGTGTCTTATTAAGACTCTTAGAAAGTTTCTAATACATTGAGACTTTTAGAGATTTCTAAAATGTCTTTAAATGTCTCAATTGAATGCATGCAGACTTCGTTTCAAAAAGTTTCAATTGAATACACTAGAATTTTGAAAGTCATAAAAAGTCTTAATCGAATACACCCTCCTCAGTGAAACTGAAATTTGTGCAGATTGCTGCATATGGAAAGGGTTTCGTGCAGGCATCTCAAGACACATGGGAGATGTTTACGAAAAGGGATATGGTTGAGGTTGTCGACTCTGATATAACGAGCGCCATTTGTTTTCTCACCGGAATTTGCAGTGGCTCCATCTGTACAATAGTTGTGGCTGCTTGGACGGCCTCTGTTCACAGAGGCTACATTGCAACCCTCTCAGTGCTTGCTGCCTACATTGGTTACCTAATGGTTAGTCGCGCGCCACTAACTTTTTTTCCAATTATTTCTTGCATACGACTTTCAGAATAGCAAAAACTACACATAAGGGTTTATTCTGTGTTAATGGAAACTGTTCAACACATGTTGATCATTTTGTTTATACTCGTCTGCTAATCTGTCTCTAATTCTGTTAACACACATTGGATTTTGGTGTAATTGTGGCAGACTAGGATTGCAATGGCATTGCCCCATGCATGTGTGAGCTGTTACTATGTCTGTTATGCTGAGAATCCCGAAAACAGGCTATTTGATGACACAATACCAAATCGTATCGAGCTGATAAAGTCGGGTCGAGATGTGGTTGTACCTACGCCTCGGGTCCCACGCCGCTTTCAAAGATAGCCTTTTTTTTTATTATTATTGATGGCTCGTGTACATACACCTAGTCACAGCAATAATGATTTGTATATATGTATTTTTTTGTTTTTAGTAATGCAAGAATAAGTATTCTGTATTGATGTAGCTGTGGATTAAGTGAGCGTTTAGGGTTCAACACGTGTCAGTGTTTGAGTGGTTCGAAAGGGAGCTCTCAAAGCCAATAATGATTTAAGATTTCATTTCCCCACAGTAAGTTCTTTTGAATATAGGAATGGTGAGATTCTTATCAACAAGGCTGGCTACAGAGAGTATAAAGTGTGCCCTTTTGTGCTGTCTTTTATGGGAATTATTTTTTGGACATTGGTTTTTGGATAGATGAGATTTTGGGTTGTCAACATTATAATTTATTTGGTGTGCACGTCTTGATTTAGGTGGTAAACAACATTATAGTTTATTTGGTGTGCACGTCTTGGTTTAGATATGCCAGACTGTATAGTAATTTCTGAATCTATAATGGGTATTGTTTATATGTTTACCACACAATATACGCATTTGACCTGCCAAACAATGACGTAAATAAAATTGTAGTGTCATGACATAGCATGGACTAATTTGGTAGACGGATAAAGAAAAAAAAATGAGAAAAACTCTTCACGCACCACATGGGAATCGAACCCCAAAATGTTAACAAGATAAAGATGCACTTAATCGCTACGGTAACACCATGTACAAGTACAACTTTCTAATTATCCCAAGTTAAATGTAAAAATTAATAATTAATTTGCGTAATGCATTTTCCACTAGAGAGGAATGCATTTATTGAAGAAGGTAACATTGGTTTGGGTCAGTTGAAGGCAAAGTATGTACGTTTCACATAATTCACTCCTCAGAAACGTACATATGGCCCTATTGGATATTGTCCACATATTTTACACACATATATGTGTCTGAGTGTGTAAACAAATCGTTGAGCACCCATGGAACAAATCATGGTTAATGGATGAGTCACAACCAGGTAATGGTCTTTAATAGAATTAGAAAAAAAAAGAAGTACGACTTATAAATTCATCTACAATTTTTAACAAATAATGTATTGATACGTGTTCTGAAATTAATACATTTAGTACAATTGTCAATACATCAATTCATGGATGGCTCCGTAAAGGAGTCATCCACTAACTCCTTGAATTTCTCAATCTTTCAAACCTTCATTTTGCTATTTATTTTGATTTGTTCTTCATGGTTTATTGTTTCATATATCTTCCATTGAATTTCTCTATTTCTTTTTTCTTTTCCGAACGATAGGAATTTATAAATAAAACACATAATTAAACTAGAACTCAAACAATAGCCGAATCAATTGTGAGGACATCCCTAAAAAGAGCCTAAACACCACAAGATATCCATGATAATACCTAACTCCCAACAGAGGAATGTAGACTCCAAAGGGATAGTNAAAACATAGAAAAAACATCCAAATACAAACGCAATAATCATAAACTAAAACCCTTCCTTCAGCCGGACAACCACACCACGCGAAACTCGACGGGGACACCATGACCGACCACCAAACAGATTAGACGACGACCTAAATTTCAGATCCAGAAACTGCAACACACGCCTAACTAGAGCCGAAACCAAAGACCTGGATGCGGGACCGATGAGATTCTGGGTTGTCAACATTATAATTTAATTTAATTTATTTATTTTCATATGCTTCACCGGCCAACCGTATCCTTCAGCTAAATAAAGATAATTGAACGACTGAAGCTGGAAAATTGTTTGAGCCGTTTGCAAGCTCGTTTCCACTTATATCAATTTTTCGGCTGCATTTTCCCCCTTTTTATTCCTGGCGATCCACCCTCACCAAACACTTTCAAGAGCACCTCGAATAGCCAGTCAGCCGCCATCGGTAAGCGGCAGTCCCCCAAACCCAAGCCATGATTCATGAATGACCTCTCGGCGACCTGGAGTACCTCCTTAACATGCCGGCGGCCCAAATTTCCACCGGCCAGCAGCATCTCTTCCTATTGACAACCAAAAATTTCGACGATCCGAGTGGTTCCGTACCTAATGTCGTTCACAGACTCACTAAATCGAGCTCTGAAGCCCTGAAGAAACTTCCTGCCGTTACACCGAATATTAGGCTAATGGAGGTCCACCAAAAGCGATTACCAGCGGTTCTCCTCATTCGCTACAGTTTGCTGAACCATCCCCGGCTAAAGTCGCCGAATTTCTTTCAGTCGACGTCGCCGGTGTCTCAACCTCCGGTCAGAAGGTGACGGCTCAACATCGTCAGCTAGCCCTAATCATGTACGTCTCTAATCATTGGGCTCCTCTTCTTGGGTCGGTTAGTTCTTCTCTCCTCTATCCTATTGGGCCTTCTAAATTCAAGCCCATTTATCATCTATTTTTTGGGTCCAATTCAACTGGACCCTTTTTCCTCTTCTGGCCCTTCTCAGTCCTCCCAAATCAAAACCAAGCCCGACCACACTTAACCCCTCCCCATTCCATCTAAAGCCCACCCTGCCCAGCCCATCCACACTACACCTTTTTTCATCTTAGCCTCCACCCTACCTAGCCCGAACCTAACCATACCCAGTCATGTTCAATATCAGCCCGAACCTGGCCCAACCTTTTCAATCCTGCCTTGCCTCCTCTTGTCAAATAATGCCGTAAAAATTCGAACTTTGTTCAAAACGAATTAACCAAGTGCTCTGATACCACTTGTTGAGATTTGCGAGGATCTCATTATGTACAAATCACGAATTCAATAGCAAATGTAAACCTATGCGCAGCGGATCTAAATGTTTGACGTAGAAAACTACGACTTAAAATTTTCTGAATCTATCGGATTCGGGATGACCGGGAACAGCACACGAACGGAACTGGATCACACAAATGGGAGGCGGGTTGTGTCCGTGCGTCGATCGGGTCGTGTGGGATGTCGGGCTCGATCGCCGGTTATGTCGCGCGATCGGGTGGCGTCGATCGTGTCGCGGCTGAACGGGTCGTCGCAGCGGCGGTCTGGTCGGTGGTCCGTGGTCCGTGGTCATCGGGTCGTGGATCGTTGATTGCTTGTGGAAGATACTATATGTTATATACTATATGTTATAGTTTATAGTTTATAGTTTATAATATATGTTATATACTATATACTATATAGTATATGTTATATACAATATTATAAACTATATACTATATGTTATATACTATATAGTATATTATAAACTATATATTATATGTTATATACTATATTATAAAGGCTTACAGTAACAGTTGTTAAGCGATTAGTAAGCAGAGACCTATTATTTGCATTCTTATTCTAAAGTACCGTTCCGCTACTCTCCTTTTCCCGACAACAGAATTCTGATCTGCGAATCGAAGTGAAGTCATAAAAGCATACATCATAGTTTCACTACGTAGGGCAGGGCTATGATTTGGACCGAACTATGTAACCTAAGTAACTCGACAAATCAAACCCGAAAAACTCACTCCCAGCTAGCCTTCCAAGAGTGGGGGAGAATAGAACTGAGCATGAAGGCTGCAAGTACAAGTATTAGTAGCATAACAAACTTCCTCCTCATTAATATGTTTGCGTGTACGGGTTGGAGGAAGAATAACAACATCTTTTGCTCTATTGCTCCTCGGTTGTAATTAACCTGCTTTGAACATGACATTCGTACCCAAGGAAAGTTTTGGCAGGCATTACTGTGATCTTGAAGCCCTTGTGCCTCCTTCTTTATCCATTTGAGGGCGCTCTTTAATGTTGTCGGTTGTCGGCCCAGTCCCATCCACTACCTTTACTCATAATTGCGAAAAATTTTGTACGTTTACTTCTATTTCAATCTTGCCGCGACGACCCGTTCAGCCGCGACACGATGGGTCTGGTTGGCGGTCCGCAGTCTTCGGGTCGTGGATCGTCGATTGCTTGTGGAAGATCACTGGGTTTCGATTACCTATGGATCTTCTACTGTATTACTCAAACACCGTCTTCAACTTGTACAAGTGGAGCAACAAGAAGAAGATAAAGCTTGAATGAGAACTGAGAGAGAGATATGAGGGGCAGCGTCTCACGTGAATTATGTGGGGATTCCTTTCTCTTCTCATTAGCTTAATTATGTATATATAGAGCTACAACAAGGACCCTTAAGAGATTAGGAATAGGACTCCTTAATTAATTAGACTAACTGTAGGCCAAATACACTCTTTTAATTAATTAAATAATATTATGGGCTACCAACATAATATTATTGCACTCCATTTCTTTAGCTTAAATTACATTTGAGACTCCAATAATAATTACCCGAATTACCTCCCCATGTTTAAGATATAATGTTCATTAATTAATTCGATTACTGATAATTAAGAATTAATTAATTTATTATTATTTCATCGAATCTAGCGCTCATTCATCACATTATTACTATGCCGGAGTTTAATCCACCTGCAGGGTTTAGCATAATAATCCTTCATGAACTCACTCTAGGGACATCATCAAACTAAACGTACATGGTGACCGTAAATATTCTAACAACACATCCTATATATAATAATATTACCCAATACAGTAGGAATATTAATCCAGCAAACTGAACCTCACCCAAGTGAATCAAAGTAATATGTACTGCATATAAATGTCTGTTTAATATCTTACGGGTTAAGAGAATGCAGTAATTAATCAAAGCCTAGTTCGGCGATCAGTATAAAACGAACTTCTCCTCTCTGGGATCATGTTCAATACATAATTGTACTGGTGCAACTAATCAGTCAAGACAAACTGTAAAGTTGACATTACAACCGTTCGGATGGGATGCTCATTTCCATCTAGGTTGTGAACCGTTATTCTTGTTTCGTAAGTAATTGATATGAATGATCTTCGGTTCGCCCGATGACGATTCACTCTATCTAAGTGCAAAACAACAGAACATAGAACTTGCTTAATCTAACATGATTCTCATTCACAAAGGGCAAAAGTGTAATAATGTCCAAAGCTAAGCTTTCAGTATATAACACTCACAGTCCGGACTGATTCAACTGAACTAGAATTCTCTTCGAACCGTCCGGCCTGCCCGGACTGGTTCAACTGGACTGGTCGGCGGTTTACTCAGAACCGGCCGATCATTTTCTTGACTATATGCAGCTCGGCTTAATCGTGGTCCAAATTTGGCGTAGCAACTAAGGGCACGCACGAACACGACTGACGTGGCTTTGCCGACACACGGGATTTAAACGGTTCCACAGTCGTTGACGCAACTTGGACCACGGCTAATGAAAAATAATGCGTTGACGGTAGGTCGGACGGACGCACGGGCATTGAACAAAGCGCAGGGGCGCGACTCGGTGCACGGGCACGCACTCGATGGCTCGGCTCCAACGATTGGACGAGAATTTAACACGTGTGTGGGACGACGATACAAGTTGAGGGTACGTGCTATTGCACGTCGGTTGGATAATTCCGATCGCTACAAGACACACGACCTCGATAGCCTTCATAGGCTCGGTTATGGTCCCATCGGCGACACATCGGCCGACCA